ATTTTAAGAAATTTGGCTTGTGAATCCTGTAGGACGCACGACAATCGTTCGTTTAAGAGAACTACATCCAGCCTATTGGTGAATTCCCGATACGGGATAAATTGTTTTTTCCAATTTCCCACTAGGTTAATTTGGCGGCAGTTAATATTTGGTGGGCTAGGGCTCCCTGAGCTTTGTTCAGTCCGGGGACTGAGGCATGGAGTAAGGCCTGTGTTGGGTCTTTAGAGATATTTTTGGCAAAAAGAGTCGAAAGCAAACGAAAAATTCTGGTCCAGAACGGGGCAGCGAAGGGGCAGGACCACCAGGTATGTAACATGTCCCCGGGGGTTGAGCAACCTCTGTAGCAGTTAGCGGAAGATGATGAATATATTCTAGCTAGACGAGTTGGGACTAAGTACCACCGAAACAATACTTTGTAGGCTACCTCAGTATTTGTCACATTACTGGAACACCGGGAAATATTCTTCCACACCTCTTTCCAGTCATCATCAGACCAATGCAAACCCAGTTCTGCGGACCATTTGTTGGAATAAGAGTGAAAACTAGTAGGTGGTAGTGAGTTCAAGGTAGAATATAGAACTGACACCTGTTTAGGTCCCCCTGGAGCATACAGGCAGAGGTGCTCAAAACCAGTAAGCGGTGCAGTTAAACATCTACGTGTTCGCATAGAGGATACCCAGTGTTGCAGCTGAAGAAACCTATACATTTCTGAATCTGGGATCTGTTTGGTTGTTTTGAGATAGGACCAAGTCGTTAAGTCAGGGGTACGATAGAAATCATACAGACTAGTGGAACCATTATCGGTCCACCATCTGAACCTGGTCGGTTCAGTGTATGCTGGGACAAATAAAGGTTGCGAGAGTAAAGGGAGAAGGGGTAAGGAGGGGGATATCAGACCGGAGGAGTACTTCAGTGAGTCCCACACTTTCAAGGCGTGTTTCATCAGAGGGCTTAGAGAGCGGGGTCTATCAACTGTCGGTAGCTAGGGAATCGCTTGTAGAGGAATCGGGGAGCAGTTGGGAATTTCCAACATGGTCCATAGTGGAATATTAGTAGTGCGGTGAATGGCAATTAATGGTAACAGTTGGGACGCTTGGTAGTAGAGAAGGATATTCGGAAGGCCTATGCCCCCTTCCCGTTTATGCTTATATAGTGTGGACCTCGGGACCCTGGGGCGCAGCGGGTGCCATAGAACGATAAGATGTTTCTCTGGACAGTTCGAAGGATAAAGGATGGGACCGCTATAGGTAGTACCCTAAAATAGTATAGTAGCTTAGGGAGTATGGTCATCTTGACCGCAGTGACCCTACCAAACCAGGATAGTCTATGATGTACCCAGGTGTCCATTAAAGCCTTAAGCTGCCTAATCAGGGGTAAATAGTTATTTAAGTACAGTGTAGCGTACGAGGGAGATATATTAACCCCTAGGTATCTCAAATACTTCTGTTCCCAAGAAAATGTGAAATTCTCACGGAGACTAACATAATCATGCTGTGGCAAAGAGACATTCATGGCTGATGATTTTCCCCAGTTAACCACCAAGCCAGAGACATCCGAGAAGAGTTCCAAGGTACGCAGTAGGTTGGGAACAGAAGTATGGGGTTGGGTAATGGTCAATATGACATCGTCTGCAAACAAACTAGTTTTGTATTCTACCCCTGCTATCTCTACTCCCTTCACGCTTGGGTTTGTGCGGATCAGATAAGCCAGAGGCTCCATGGCCAGGGCGAACAGGACCGGCGACAGGGGACAACCCTGGCGAGTGCCTCTGCCAATAGGGAAGGCCCCAGAGACGTGTCCTAAGTATTTTACCTGAGCGGTGGGGTTATTGTATAAGGCTTGAAGCCAGGAAAGAAAAGGACCATCGAGACCCCACTTGAGCAGTATATATCGGAGGTAGTTCCAGGAGACCGTATCAAATGCCCGCTGGATGTCAAGAGACAGTAGGAACCCCGGGATGTTCCTAGTCCGGAGGACATGTACCAAGTGAATGATTTTCCTGACGTTATCCCCTGCCTGCCGGGAGGGGATAAAGCCGACCTGGTCCTTATGAATCAGAACCGGTAGGAATTCATTGATACGTGCAGCCAGGATCTTCGCCAGAATCTTAAGGTCTACATTCAGAAGGGATATAGGCCTATAGTTATTGGGGTCTCGAGGGTCCTTATCCGGCTTCGGCACCATTGTAATGTATGCCAACAAGGAGGAGGGGTGTACTAAGTTCCCTTTTCTCAAGGAATAATACATGTCCGCTAATCTAGGCGCCAATATGGGTGCTAACTTTTTGTAATAAAGGGTTTAAAACCCATCTGGGCCAGGGGCCTTAGACGTTTTAAGGGATTTGATCGTGTTCAGTACTTCCTCCTCCGTTATTTCTAGGTGAAGTTGAGTAAGTGTTGTTGGGGGGGCAATAGGGAATGGAAGGTCCTTAAGCAGTGCATCTGCTTTGGATTCATTAAAAGAATTAGGGGCGGAATAGAGTTTTGTTAAATTTTCGTGAAACAATTGGAGAATTTTATTCGGATTCGCTGTTATATTATATTCGCTGGAGGATGGGTTCAGCTCCCTCCACACATCCACCAAGGAATGGTCATTTAATAATGTGAGGAAGTCGGAATTCTGCAACGGTAGTGGGGAGGGGTTGGCAGTGGTTGGGGGTTTAGTCTTATCATGAGCAGGGTAAAGAACTAAATTGGTATCCCCAGCCAAAATGAGGATACCTTTACTGGGGTGGGAAACTACCGTCAATAGGTGGGAGAGGAAGCGGAGTTGGTGCGTATTAGGGCAGTAGTACGTGACTATAGTCACGTCAACATCATACAGCGAACCAGTCAATATCACATAACGTCCAGTGGGGTCCGAAATTTGTTTGTCACACACGAAAGGCAGATTCTTCCTAATCGCTATCAGTACCCCCCTCTTTTTTTCCGTGAAGTTGGCACTATAAAATATAGGGAATCGATTATGTAAATATTTAGGACAGGAGGTGAGGGAAAATCTAGTCTCCTGTAAGCAGACTATGTCGGCATGGCAGGATGAGTAATAGGAGAATGCTTTGTGTCGCTTGTGCGGTGAATTCAACCCCTGGACGTTATGTGAGACAACATTAAAGCTATTGGCCATGGGTGAGAAGCATGAACATTAGGTAATATAGGCAACCCTTAGTGACAGACCCATGTATACAATAACTCACGAGAAACCTGTGGAGGAGCGACCGGAGCGTGGTATTCCAGACCACCGATGGACCGGGAGGAAGGGAGAAGAATCTAAGGAGGAAAAGGAAAACAAAAGCCCTACAGTGGGCTAGGTGAACAAAAGTTAGTAATAAAATGTAACTTAGAAAACTAAGGAAAGCGAGGTGGAAAAATCCTCCCTCCTAACCGCCGTTCTCAAGGGGGGGCGCTGATCACCCGGTCCCCCTAGAGAGCACCTCATGTAGTGATCTTATGTGCGCGGGACCAAAAACGGTTCATGTAAAAATAAAGGCAGATGGTGCTGGAAGGCGTAAAGGGAATAACAGTATATAACTTCACAGGGTATATTATGCTCATCCTGAACTCAGAGGTAAAAGAGAGTAATCAACTGGGTGTAAAACTGGCCAGCGATCTAGGAACAACACGGATCGAATGGCAGTCGACGGGCGGCAGATGTAATGTCTAATAAGCACAACCATTGTGCGAAAATAGGAGCCGAAAGGGGAATTCCCAGCGATAAGCTATGCCATTATTTTTGAGCACCTCCAGATAAGGCCTCAGGGCTCGCCGGCATTGTATGGTGGTAGGCGAGAGGTCAGCAAATACTTGGAATGCAGTTCCTTGGAACATAAATTGCAAGGCTATAGTCTGGTCATGCTGACTGGTGAAATTTTTGACTGACTGGTAAGACACCGTCAAATTTTTCAAGCCCTGCATATGTTGGTATTAGGGATGCACTGATACCAGTTTTTCTGTATCAAGTATGACTACCGACATTTTGCTTTTGGTACTCGCTGATACCTAGTACGATACTTCCACTTGCATGGAGGCGGCTTTCCGGGCAATCAGGAAGCCAGGCGGGCGGGTAATGACATGCCAGCCAATTAGCATTGAGCCGGCTGTTAGAGGAAATCTTTCTTTGAACGGAAGTTCTAGTTTCAGGGAAGTTATCGGAGCATTGGGAGTACTCGCCCAAATACTCGGTATCGGCACCGATACTAGTATCCGTGCATCCCTAGCAAGTATATACCATTCCCTGTTCAATACTAGACCTTTTGGGAATGTGCGTCAAACATGCATAATAATTAGCGTTTTGATGCATGTTCCCAAAACGTGCACAATCGCGAAACGAGCTTGTGTTGCATTTCTAGGTAATGGAACCCTAAAGGTGTCTGTGAAATTGTGCGTTAAAATGCGTGAAGAAAAAAAACACGGGACACTCATTTTGCTACATGAGCTTCTTTTCTGTATTTGTTGCACGTACAGGAATCCATTGAAATCAATGGGGACATGCGGCAAACACGGAAAGAAAACCTGCACAAACGCACGCGACCGCGTCCCCAGTACACCTATGGGTGAATGGGAACTAAATACACTCTCCTCCTGTGGTGACAGATCAAAGCTGTCCCTTGCCATTCCACCTGCCAGCACTGCCATGTTCCCCATCACATCTTCCAAGTCCCACGTTGCTCATCTCCTCTGATCAGACAGCTGCTTATGATACTACAAGAGCCTGAGAGACACTCTATTGAAAAACTACTAGGAGGGGGGTTTAAACAAAAAAAGTGCTCAAGAGCCGCCATTGCTTGATGCACTGCTACACTTTCGCTACCACAGTTCCAACTAAGTCCTTCCACAAACAGTGAACCGATAGAGACAGCAGGTGGCGCTGTACATATTTTATGGAACTGCGAAATGCAAACTTTACGGACACTGTGGTCCCACCAAACACAACGAGGCATTTTCCAGCGCCGCCATTTTCATGTGGTTCAAACCGTGCAGCCTGCTGCAACACCTACACTTGCCTTGACGGTCACGTGATGCTTTCGCCATTACGTTCATTTTGAGGGAACGTGCTCCTCCGTCGTTGCGTCGCGCTTCCGCCTGCTATTGCTGCGTTAGTCGGGGTGGGGGAAGGGGAGAGGTGTTGGGTTCGGTACTGGGAATCATGGATCCGGACTCGGTGATAGAGGATAAAACCATCGAGCTCATGGTAAGAAAAGTATGCTTGATGTCACCGCTGGCCTTTATTTTGCGGAGTAAGATGTGCTTCTGTGTCACATCGATCGTCCTGCTGTGTGGATAGAAGCTATGTAGATACGTGAAAATTGTAATTTGGACTTGTCATCTAGCTGTCGAAGAACTACATATCTCAGCAGGCCATATCGACGGCTGGCCTGCCGTGATGTGTGGCCCATCGTGAACCAAAGGGCCTCAGGTAGCCAAATCCTGACTTTTTTTTTTTTTGTGCTTTTTGACGTGTTCTCCGCCCTTGTATTTTCTTTCTGCGAATAATGATCGGCCGCTGCCGGTGAATGCTCAGAAAGGATGGGCATCGGAAGGGTAGCGCAGCCTAGACGGTACGCCCGGCCCTTTCTATGGGCACTCAGTGAGTAGCCACCGAGAGGAGGGGCTGGTTTCCCAGACGGATCTGCCGCAGAGCATCCACAATGGATGATGAGCGGTGCTGACGCCTCATCACCAGCAAACTGCTTCCCTACTAGTGCTGCCGGCGGCCTTTCCGTTTATTATTATTCCATTCAGTTTTTGTGCGGAGATGTGAACATCCGCCGTTGGCCTTTTGTAGAATATCATTGAAGCTTGTCTACCTGCTATTTCAAGCCTGGCAATAGGACCTTAACAAAGGAGTTTTTTCTTTTTTTTTTTTTTTACAATTTGTGTATCTTTTCTTCTCATCTAATAGTTGCCGGCCTCACATTATTAAAATGGTCTCAGTTTGGAATGTAATCTACATTTATTACTTTCATACCCTCATAACATGCAGATTTTTAGTGATAATTTATACGCCTAGAGGGGGTAACTTTTTTCGCTGGAGTTTGTTTGAAAGCTTATCTGTGGAGATAAAACCCTCCCCTTGCATTGGGACTGCCAATGCACTTCAAGGGTTAACTGCTTGTTAAAGGCTTCATTCACCTTTTAGGCCTTGTTTAGGCCCCTTTTCACATGGACAGTACAATCGGGTACGATTATCAGTTTTCCCGATGGACCAGATCGTATGTCCAATGCTATTCTATGGGCAGCCAGGTCTAAACGGACAGACGTTCATTTACACCCGACTCTGGTCATATCCAGAAAAACGAATGGAATACATGTCTGTTTACATCAGATTTCCCCATAGACAGACATGGGGTCCGGTTTTTTCCTCATTCACAGGATGGAGGAAAAAACTGGAGAGACACGGATGTCATAGCGGTGACATCTGATCAGTACTGCCCCGATCAGGACGCAATGCATGCCCAGATTGCCTCATGATCAGCCCATGTGAAAGGGTCCTTATGTCTGGCTCCGTAAGAGAGATTTCCCCTCATTTCCTGTCTTCCTGACCAGGGATGCATTGATACCGATTATTTAGGCGAGTACTCGTCCAAATGCTCCGATACCGGAACTTCCGGTCAGAGAGAGATCTCCCGCTGACCAGCACAGCCCAGGGAGTATGGAGCCGGTTTCCTTTCCAATCAGGAAGCCGGGTAATGACCCGCTTCCTGATTGGCTGGGAAGCTGGCTTCAATTGTTGCTCGTGAACCTGGCTTCCTAACCAATTGGGAAGCTAGGCGGCACGTCTTGACTCATCTCTCGGCTTCCTGATTCGTCAGGAAGCCACGCTGCCTAGGAACAAGTGAAGCCGGCTTCCTAGCCAATTGGGGAGGCAGGTCATGACGTGCCGCCCGGCTTCCTAATTGGCTAGAAAGTTGGCTTCACTTGTTGCCAGGCACCCCAGCTTCCTGATTGGTCAGTAAGCCAGGTAGCCTCTGTAAGTGAAGCCTGTGTTCTTTCGATAGAGCAATGGCTTCCCAGGCAATCAGGAAGCCGGGAGACAGGTCATGATGCGCCGCCCCACTTCCTGATAATCGGGGCACCCGGTATCGGTACTCGTACTCCCTACTGAAAACCAAGTATTGGTGAATCCCTGCTCCTGACATCTACCAGACAGGAAGTGAGTTGAAGTCTAAACAACACAGATAAATGACTGTAGTATCCCTGTCAGATGCAGTATGGATTGAGGTGTCCTTTTTGCACATTCTCTTATTTCCTGTCTGGTAGAATGTTGTCAGCAGGACAGGAAGTGAGGGGAAATATCCCTAATGGAGCCCTGGATAGCATTAAAAACCTGACAGGGTGTCTTAATCCTTTCACACTCTACTTTGCTGTCTGTACTGTCCATTTTCTTTAAATAGATGTTGTTTGCTAAAATACCCCATAAATTATATGGCCCATTCTCGCTTAAACTGTGTATACACGCTTTGAATTTTGGCTGGTTCATCAAGAATTCAATGTTTGGTTGCTGCTGTTGGCACATTTCTCCTCAGCTGATCGAACAAGCATGTTGGAAAATTTTAGGCCAAACAGAGCTAGCAGCAAGTGAGCTGCCAGCTCTGTTGAGGTATTCTGACAGCGGCCACTCTCACAGAACAAAGGAAACAGCGGGAGATTCCTCAATCAACACTCATAAGTGTTGATGGAAGAATCTGTTCTATTTTGTTAATTCAGCCGGCAGGTTGAATAAAGAAAATAGAAGTACGTGTACTCGACTTTACTCTTTCATGGTGACACCATCCTGTTAAGAGTGTCCTGTGGAGTGTATGGGCACCTTTTAGACGTAGCCCCCTGAGTTTGTGAAGTGCAACATTTCTTTCACAAAGGTTTTATTTGTTTTTTATAATTTTTGTTTTCACATAAAGGTTACAATCAATAAGAGAACAGAAATAGGGCATGCAAGCCCCGCAACAAGGAACACAAATTGAAAGTATGCAGCGCCCTGCAAACTGTAAGACCAATCAACGAAACAAGCGCCAAAGATCATTATAGGCGTATAAAGAGTGTAGTGCTGTCCAGTTATAGTGGGTAGGACCTAAGATGACATGAAAAGGAGCATCAAAGGGGGGGCTTATAAGGTCCGGACCCTGGGTATAATGGAGTAGAGAGCAAGGAGGTAGACGGTCCCCTACACGAAGTGCAACATTTCTAAGTGTAAGTACAAAGTGTGGCCCACCTTACTCATGACCGGTATACCCCTAGAAGATTGGTGCTGAAGTGACTGCAAATGGCGCCACTAAGATTAGTGAAGGCAGAAGATGCTAACAGAGCACAGAAGAAAGGCGTCCGAAACGTCTTTGTTGACGCATTGACGTTGTCACAAGGATGGCAGCGTTTTGGGGTTCAACATGATGGTCATATTGAACTGTATGATGGGACCCTGCGCTGCCCTGAAAAGTTGCCATCCTTGTAACAATATGTCAGTGCTTCAATAAAGACGTTTTATTTGGACACATTTCTTTGGCATGCTGGTGGAATCTACTATCTCCATTTCGAGGTGCAGTCTCCTCCTCAGTCAATCCCACCCATGTTTGACGGGATAGACATCCCCATCCCATTCAGTATCTTCAGCTGTGAAACTGAGAGGAGGGACAGGAGGATTGTTTGTCACTAGTGTCACGTCCTCTGCACGCTGAGAATCGTAGTCTAATCGTCAGTGTCACGTGTGACAATCTTAACATGCACCTGCAGCTTGAGTACTGGTGCACAAAACATGAAAATAGTGGATGAATCGTGCATGAAGGCCAGTTTTTTGTGTTTTTTTTTTTCCCCAAAATTATGTTTTGAAAATTAATTTTGAAGAAAAGAGAGGTTCAACTAATATAATCATCTTTTGTTAGGGGAGTTTAGTTCTACTAATTTTAAAGGTGCATGCTCCATATTTTCCATATGAGACTGTAGGGGTTAAGCTATATAGGAATTATATTTATTTGTAGTCTGAGAGACTATTTACAATTTCCTGATATGCTGCATGTAAATATTGTTTTAATGAACTTAGATTTTTGCTACGATAAATGTAAATATTGTGTCTACGTTTAGTTTGAAAACATCCGATATGACAGCGTTCCATCCTACGCCCCCCCCCCCCGAGGGAGCGCTGCCTGCTGTCAGGATGGCGGAGCGGTGAGGGGGAGAGAAGCCGCGCGCGCAGCTTTCAGGATGGCTGAGCGGGTAGGAGCTCGGAGCCGCTGTCATCCTGTCAGTTTCTGTGCGTGGCAGAGCGGGGATCGGTAAGTATCATTGATATTTATCGATCCTCCGTGTGAGAAGGACAAACACTGGAGCGATCGTCTGATCACTCCAGTGTTTGTAAATAACTGGGGACATATAGTACTATGTGTTCCCAGTTATGAATGAACAGGCTGTGATTTACATCACAGCACGTTCATTCAAGATTTCCTCAATGGGGACTCAGTACAGTACAGAGCAGGGGTGTGGACATTTTTGAAAAAACTACTTGTCCAAGGACTAAAGCGGGGGCCGAATCTACTTGTCCCTCATGACATTCTATTTCAGGGGATTCTGGAATTCGTATCGCCCCACGCCCGGGACATGTAGTTCCGGGCGCCGGGCAAGTGCTTTTTTCGCTGTCTTAGCCCTGCTATGGACAAGTAGCAGGGCTGGTTTTCTTTTCCTAAAATGAGCGTCGAGCGCTGCGAGCGGGGGACGTGGAGCGGATGGGCGGGGACGGAACGTTGAGTGCTGAGAGCGGGGGGCGGGGACAGAGCGTGAAGCGTGTGAAGCGTTAAAAGCGGGGACAGAACGTGAAGAGAGCGGGGGGCGGGGACAGAGAAGGGGCGTGGAGTAGTGACAGGCTCTGTCACCTCCCATAGCCTCTGTCCTCCCCGGCCGTTGCTCGTCAGACTCACAGGAGTTCTAGCAACAGTGCCTGCTAGAACTCCTGTGTTGGAGGTGACAGGTTCAATAAAGAGTACCTGTCACCTCCAAATGGTATCACACAGGGGATTGTTAACCCCTGTGTGATAGCAATACAGTTAAGTTTAAAAAAAATACAAAACACCCGGTAACGGGTGTGTGCATTTAGCGGGTCTTTTCTGCCCGTGCGTGCCCGCTAGGGTCAGAGTCAGGTGACTGTGCTGACCAACGAGTGCTTGAAATTTGCAAGCGAAATTAAGAATACATGGAACAGGTACAGAT